AAAACAAGTGGACTGTGTTGCTGTTTGTTTATTGTTGAAATTTATCATCAACAAGTCACAGACACCTACTCTAAGGAATCCGGTCCATCAATACATAAAAACCTGACCAAAATACACTTCAGTAAAGGTTATTGGCAGATCCTGATTGTGACAAAATCTAAAGAGAAGACAGCCTTCATGACACTACATGGATGCTACCAGTTCAAGAGGATGCTGTTTAAGTTAGTCAACTCAGCAGTGACATTCAACTGCATAATGAGGAAGATACAGTTGTGTTTGTTTACTGTTGAAATGCATTGTCCATACATAAAACCTTCCACTCACCTCTGATTTTAAAATATTGTTTAATAGGTTGTTTTTCAACAATGTACAACAGTGTGTTCCACGTACTTTCATATTCCATACATTACATTATTTTACCCTCACTTCTGACTCTTCTTCTCCTGCCCACAGTTCTTTCAATATCTGCATCAGGCCTCATACTGTTCGTTCATACAATAACTCGTGAAAATCCTGTACTCGCTTGTAGGATTTCTTAGTAAGCAAATAATACTGTCTGCAGATATCTGTCCCAATCGTGTAGTCTCTCCTAGTATTTTATCTTTAGCAAGCTTGGCAATATCAATTTGTGCTCTTATTCTCTCTATTTCCAGTCTCTTCTATCTCCCCTTTTTCTTTTTCGGCTTATATTTCATGCTCATTTCTTCTTTCGGTCTTTCTCTTCTCTGCCTCTCCTCCTCAGTCTTCTGTTGAGGCTCTTCTCTTATAGGTCTTGTTGTTGTTTAAAAATCTCTTGTAGATCGCTATCTTTGAGCCCAAGTCACTCACCCCTATCTATGCACTTATCAAAGTCAGTTGACATAGTTATATAGTGTTGTTGTGACTTTTACAATATTTTTGCCACCACTACAGCTGTGTGTATATAGGACTCTTTGCTGCTGTTGTTTACATATTTTTCTACTGCCATTTACCACTGTAGATCCTGGTTGGCTTGCCACTGTCAACTTTTGTAAGGCTGGATTCTTTACATGTCTGTGACATGTTGAGAATAAATTTCAACTATAAATAAACAGCAATACAGTCTGCTTGTTTTAAAATTCTACATTAAAAACAAATGAAACATATATACATATATTCCTTACACTGTTGGTTACCACAGTTCTATCCAAAGCTTTACTTAATTGTCTCTTTTTCATCAAGGTCTACACAGGCTGGTTCAATTACTTTGGAACACAACTGACAAGACAAATTATTCTTCTCTACTCTGTTATTATAATACAGTCTTTGATAATTTCACTTTAAAAATCATCACTATACACTCTTTATTGCTAAACTCTAGATCATGCACTCTAGAACTAAAACTAGATAATGATTTTTCAATGCTTATTTATACCCTCACAGAAGTCTAGAACATTCCATGCAATACTAGATATTCTGATGCAATAATCTCACTGTAAACAATTGCTTGTTCATAACAATTTAACTACACAATGTATGATTCGTAAAGATACTTACCATAAAATATTGCCTCTAAAAATAAATAATATGACACCCGATGTTATATAACATATCTAAATCGTAACGCTTACATTAAACTAAAGCTGAAATTGTCGTGTATCTCTAACAGTGAGTTTTTTTTTTACAATTTCATATAAAATATTAGCAGCGCTTATAAAGCTTTAACATAACTAGAACTATGTTTTCTACCTCTTATTATTCCCATAAGAGAAATTAGTGTACAGAGAAGATACAGTATATTAGTATAGTCATACAATATTAAAGCAGAAACTTTGAAAAACCTCAATTTTGGGATATCTACAAAAAACTAAAGATGAAAAACCTGAAAAACACCAGAAAAGTGAAGACCTAACATAGAATATAGATAGGTTAAACCAGCCTACTGTATGTCTTTCATACGTGTAATATCAGATGCAAATTGGGCTTTTTTTTAAATGATTTTCTCTTAAATTTTAGTCTTAGCAGGTTTCCCAGAGCTAAAAATTGACCACTTTATATCATTTCAACCTATAAATATATAAATATTTTAAGTCTTTAAGTAAGATACCTATACAACCATCTTGTTGCCGTTGTTTCTAAATATATTGTAAGAAAAATTTCCTTAAATTCCTTTTGTTTTATAATACACCAGATAATTATTTTTTAGGATTATTATTATTTTTTACATTTATTTGCCAACCTTGTAGGTGTTGATCAACTGATTAAAAAGTTAATGTACTTGCTTTCATGTATTTTTGCATTGATTTACTTAATTAGCTAAATATTGAAAAGTCTAATTTTGAATTGTAAAAATATTAGTAAATGAGGAATGCTTGAAATGCCAGTCTGCTTTGTAACTTTAAGCTTTACAGTTCAAACAGGGTGTCACAAGTTGTGAGGTTTACTTTAAAAAGTGATTCACCTGAAACTCAATCATAAACAAGTGTGATCTTGTAAATATACCTTGAACATGACAGCATTTACTTTCAGCTATCCTGAAGAATCACATACTTCCTAATGTGCTTTGCTCTACGGCTATTCCTCATCATGCTGGCACTATTAATCTCCTTGACAAGTATCTTACAGTGACAAGAAATGAAGACAATAAGCTGTTTGTGAATAATATTCAGATAATTGCTCGAGATATTGTAGGAATTAATGGAATTGTTCACATAATAGATGGTGTCTTGGTTCCATCTCAGGGTAGGTTATTTTGCAATAATGTAATTCACCACACACTGAAGTACTTGTAGATAAATTTGCTTAAAAATGAATTATGTAAAATATATTAGTAGTTTATTATGGTAATTTCAGATTTATAATATGCACTTTTCAATTTTACATAGTTAAATGTATACAGATTTCATATTAGAGATACAAACTTTATCTTCTGCCACTATACATTGTGCATTTCATTAAAAATTTAGTTTCACTGTTTTCATGAAGTAACTATGAAATTTGAAAATAATCTGAAACAACTTTAAAGATCATCTTTTTTGCTACATGTTAATATCAACAATGTAGTTACTTTGCTATGTTATCTTAATAATAATTATGAAAATCAGTGTAAAAGTTTAAATACTCACTGAATATATTTCAGACTACTTATTTTAACTCAATTTTTTCAGCTCTTTAATATCAAACAGAATTTTTTTTTGCCCCAGTACTGATGCTTGTTTTATTTAGTTGATTAATACTTGAAATATAAAAACCTAATTGATTGACACTCAGACAATTTACAGAGCCAGCAACTCCATTCACTATGCACTCAAAGTATGAGCAGTCCATAGTTGTTTCTAGCCCTGCAAAATGTTAGTTATTTCTTAACAACTTTTTCTGTTGTAATGTTAGTCAAGAAAGTTAGTTGAGGTGACTCAAGATATAAAAAAACATTAATTTGGAAAAAAAACAAATGTTTTTAATAGCTGATTCAGTTACAACATCACTGGAGAAGAATAAAATGATAGAAATTGTTGATTTGATTGACACGGCAGAACTTCGGAGCATTCTAGACAGTATGAAGAATGCTACTTTCTTTGTCCCCAGCAAGAAGGCTATTCAGGCAAGTTGTGGTAAAATTACCTTACCTCAGAAACTAGAGATTTGAGAACTAGTAAGCAGAAGGACAAGAGTAGTGACTTGTAGTGGTGGATTGAAAAAGTTGAGACTTGGTATAAAGTTAAAACAAAAAATATACACTGTTTGTTGAAAAAAGACAGAATAACTTGTTTGTACAAGTGGAAATGATACATAGACATTAAAAGTAAAATGAACTGTATTTAATGATGAAATAAAGTGACTTGCAATCATTGAAGGTAGTGAAACTTCACAGCAAGTCTTGACTCCTTCAGGATTGAAACAAATCCAGTTTCTCACTCTGAAGACAGATAAAAAGCTCCATGAAACCACTAAAACTGCATTTACAATGAATATTCTTTCTATAGTTGAACAATAAAAAAAAGATGTATCACAAGGTAAAGTAGAATACAATAATTTATCCCATGAAACAATAGATAGCTTTGTGGGCTAGGTAGGGTCATCGGTACCATTTTGGAGGAATATTTATCATAATATTTTTTGTGAAGGTTAACATTGTATAATCACTGTAATATATGATAGACTTTTATACAATGCAGTGTTCTCAATAAATAGCTGTTTTTTGAACACACCTCTGGGCTTTGGTATACTACAATGCATAAAATATGAAATTTTAGACAATTTGCATGTATTGCTTTATTCTTTTAGATAAGTCAATTTACAACTTTCTGTTGTAGTTAATACACTTGTTCATTCAATTGTCAATTCCACCCCACCTGTTTTTTGTCAAAGTAAATCATTTAATTTCATAGATTTTTCTGTTAAATGTGACCTATGATCCAAACCAAACATTCATATATGGTAGTTAAAAAGTAAAAGATGCCAGACCAATTTATATGTTTCTATTTACATATTGTTGTATAGATTGTTATATATAGATAATAATCAGAAAATATCCTGCTAGAGAAAAAACACTGGGTACCTGTTTGATTCTTCCATCCACATCCTTGGGGAAACAGAATATCTGGCATCAGGATGAGGCATGATCTCCAAATGAAAGCTTGATAATTAGCATGCAGTATATGCTTGTGTAGACAGTAGCGACTTGGGGCAGTTGATGGGAATCTATTTCCCATCCCTTTGCACAAAACATGATGTATCTTAATTCTGCCGCGTTCTTTACATCTTCACATGAATTCTACCAAGCTAATTGAATGCTCTTTGAAATATTGCACTACCTTTCATGATGTTGAGTGCAGACAACTTCCCTTTGTTTGCAAATGCACTAACTGTATCACATCCAGTGAATGCATGAAGACCTGGCATGGCATTTGCAGTATCCTTTGAGAGAGTGGTTTTTTGCTGCAGATAACAATGATTGCCATGATTCAAGGGAGCTGGGTCTTAAAAGCTTGTCCTTGTCAGTGCTGCAATGTATAATGCAAGCTGATGTTTTTGCTTGGGTGGAAGAGCTTGGTATTACCCACTTTCATAATCATCTTTTGATATGGTTATTTATATTCTACATACCTATACTAAGAAAAGACAATTTTAGAAGATATCAAGAAACATTAGCTTACATTTACTCTAGCTTTTATAACAATTTTCTTTGCAACATAATTGAACAGTGAGTCTGCATTTTCGTTAGCCTATTTTTCTAGTTGGCCTATTGTAATAAGAGAGTTAAAACAAATCCTGTAAATATTATTCCTCTATTCCTAGAGATCATGATCTGGTCTTTAATTTATACAGTAAACTAATTTAAAAAATCATGTTTTGATCTGTAATTTATGCATTAAACTAGTTCTAAGGACCATCTAACTAAACTTTTGGTGTATAATACAGAGTTTAATTCCAAATTGTTACTAAAAAATGCTTTTTGTATTAGGTATTCTTAAAAAGAGACTTAACCCAGAAAACAAAAAAGTGGGTTAGTACTTTTGGGGCTCATTCAGACTTGCCTTCATTCTGAATAATATATGAAGCTGCATGGATAAATATTTACTTTTCAACTTTACAATGTGTTGTGCACCTAAGAGAAGTATAATATTTTTGTTCTGCTAAAAAGTATAATTATTTAGGTCTGTAATTTACATTTTCTGGTCTGTAAAATACACATTATATGACTCATGTGAAAATTGTTTTTAGCTAATACACAATGACTAATGGGACAATATGAAATGTACTTGACACATTAATGTGGAATATTTTTAGAGAAAGAGTGAAACATTAAATACCCTGTTTTTAAAAAACCTCAGTTGAAATTCATTTTAATTCAGTAGTGAATTGAATGTAAAGTGTCATTTTTGGCTACCTGGCTCAAGGCCTACTATAGAAAGTAATGCATCAAGCATAATTTAGTACATGCCTTATTCAGAAAAAGTCAACAATTTTGTAGATATCGGATACATGGAGAGTGAGTTGTGTATCATTTACATACTACGATTTAAAAATTTTAAAACTCTAGTTTTTTTTTTAATGTTTTTGTAAAAGTGTTGCAGAATCTAGTATTAACCAATAAAACAGCACAGGCAAGAATTAACATATAGCAATATATAACTATTCAATCACAATTATGTAGGGATGATACAAATGCTATCCCTACTACATTGTTTGAATTGTTTTTGAAGGATTGATATTACCCATCCTACATTTACTTCTTTTTTTTGAAAAGTTTTTACTTGTATAATATTTTTTACGTCTCTGGTCAGCAGAGCACAGATAGCCCTTGTGTAGCTTTGTGCATAATTAAAAACAAAAACAAAAAAAAAACATAATTACTCGTAAAAATTCTTTCTGAAAAACTTCAGCAATACAAGTCCTTTCTCAAATAAAACTAGTTTATTCTTTCTCAATTAAACTTTGCAATACACTTAATTTCCACAGTCACTTTAACTTAAACATGCTATAATTCTCAACAAACGATTCATGCAATTTACTTTCTACCGCACTTGACTCAATTGTCCGTTTATATCTTCAATCTCTCTGTCTGCTATTCCCATTCCAATTGATTGTTGGGCTTATATATTAGAATACAGCACATCTAGCAAACACTCGAGCATTCACGAACCTTCTAGATACTTATTACGTGTTACCAGCGTCACGTGACTTCTGCTGTCGTGACAATATTTACTTGTACAAGTTATTTTGATAATTATAACCAAGTTATCTACTCTTTTACTTCACTATCAGTCAAGTGTGCCATAATTTGTGGTGAATGTAATTAAAAAGTATTGTATATTGCATTATATAAGTATTCTGTCTAATATAAAAAGCAACTTTATTTAATTGGTTTCATTCTTGTTATTCTTTATCTGTTGTTTTTTCAAATCTAAATTATGTTTTATGTAGGCATTACCAGAAGGCATGAAGAAAGGTTTGAAAGAAAACCCCCAAAAATTGAGAGAACTGTTGATGTATCATGTTGCACAGCCAATTGTTCACAGCTGTAAATTTCACAATAATCAGATGTTAAAAACAAAGATTGAAGATAAGGAAATCCGCATCAATATATACTCACAGGTAATACTGTAGAAAATACTCAAAATTTTAACTAATAACTAAAAGTCAACATGATTTAGTTTTCATTATTGACCATAGAGCATATAATACTAACTTTTATTCCAAGTTGTCATCCAAAAGAAATAAAAGTGAAAAGAAAAAGTTAAAAATTGATTTGTGTTCAAATTATCATGTGAGACATAATTTTTTTTGTAATATTTAAAATTACCTTGATACTTTTCTTTTCAATCTGAATTAACTTAGATGTATTCTGATACTAGATTTTGAAGATGGATTATTTTATTTCTGTCATCTGAAGTTTGATGCTGACTTGAGAGAGACTTCAATAAATCAGTTAAGAGTAATTTATAGTTTTGATATATATAAGTAAAATATCATGCTGCCAAAATTTCTGTTGTGAAAGTGAATATGAATATTGGTTTATTACAAATTAAACTCCTTCATTATGTTTTGAATTTACCTTATAGTTCACTGGTTTTGACAACAGAGTGACTGCACAGTGTGCAAGAGTAGTCAGCTATGATAATGACATTTGTGAAGGCACTATTCATGTTGTTGATAAGGTTTGTATATGTTTACTTATTGCAGTGCACTTCTGTTTAGGGCATAGTTGGGTTAATAATGTTACTTTTATGAGTAATAGTATTATATTGCATAACTTTTTCAAAAATTTAATATTATTACAGTTACTTTAAATATATAATACATTATTTTCATTTATATTTTCAAATATTATTCTTCACTGTTACCAAACTTCCCTTTTGATTACTATTCATCAATGCTACCAGATGTAATTTGCAATACGATACCATACTTTCACTTGCATATTAGCAGTCTTGCTCAGTGCTGCCCTCTATATGTACCAATTTTTTGCTTGCAACTAGCCTTGATACTACTACTACCTACTTCATGAGTTTAACGTGTTACAGCTGCATGGTAGCATGCAGATAATTATTCAGCAACCCTCCACCAATAGGAGAGTGACACACTTTCCTGTTGCAGCTGGTTTTCTCTATACTTTAGAACCCATTCTTCACTTTTTGATTTATTAGCATAGTAATATGCAGACATCTCAAAATTTCACTTGTGTTTGCTTTGTACTTTTCATTAATATTGTAATTTATTAAACAACTGTCTTAGTTGTGTCCAGTTTCTTAACAATTTTGATTTGTTTCTACAGTGAAACTTGATACTGTAGGTTGATATTTCATTATCCACTCTCAGTTGAATTTTAATTTCTAAATTTCAATTCACAACAGCTACTACTACTACTACTACTGTTAATAATGCCTTTACACTTTAATGTGCAGTTTCTTAGGCTTCGTGTTTTCTACTGAGGATATATTGTTTTTTGAATGTCTGAGTTTGGGTTCTTTGTGCGACCTGCTGTGTCTCCTGATCACAGACCACATTATCCTTTTTTTAAGGAACCTCTACAGGAAGATGCCAAATTGGATAGCCCGTTTCCTCCTTCCTTCCTTTGCAATGCAATCCCGAATTCCTACTGTGGAATCTCTCAGACCTAGATATAGTGTCACAGGTATGTTACCTTTTGTCTATATCCCCTGTGTCTAATGATTCTTCTCCTTTCTCAGATTAACTAGTTATTTTTTCCTTCCCCAGAAGTCAGGGTACATGCAAACCTGTTTATTGCACTATTATATTCTGGGATCAAAATACCCCCTATCCCTCAAATACTTATGAATTAGTGTACCATCATTCTGAGTTTCTGTTTATGGACTCTCAGAACTTGGAGTTTTTGATTCTGGTAGGGGATTTGTCCCTGATACCACTGAAATATTTCCCAGGACCTAACCAATCCTTTCCTCTATCCATTACTCCCCTGAGGGGTTGCTGAAAGATACTCATTCACTCATGTATTCCACATTGGCACACTTGTTTTTCTTGGCCCCTTCCCTACATCCTTGGCTTCTTTGTTTTTGGGACATTCTGAGTGTGTGTGGACAGGCTGGTGTGTGGACCACATCACACACCTTCATCTCTCATTAACTTTACCATGTGACTGTATCATCCTCATCGGGGTACTGGATACCACCCATTGCCATCCTCCACAATTTGGTTCAACCATGAGTGGGTAAGTGTTTTTATATTTCTTTATTTCCTTACAGTTGGCCAACTTTACATGTTGGATTCCACTCTGTGGCAAATGGTGCCTGTTCAGGTATACAAATCCATAAATCTGCACTGTATGGCTTTTCAGGTCTATAATGTTCACTGTTGAGATGGGGTGTTCAACAGGACTGCTAGTAGATTTGTCCTTGTGTTATATTGCATCATATATTTGCCCATCCCAGACCACCTCCTTTACTATCATGAGGCAAGCAATGTCGGGATAACTGCCCATCCCTCTGTTCCTGGTTGAATAAATCAGCCTGCTTTTAAAAATAGGGTTTCATGATCATCCATTGTATTCTTCCAGAACTCCTCACCATGTTTTCCCTCTTTTCAAGTGAAGTAAGGGAGTCCTAATCACTTACCAGCTCTTAGCTGCTGGGGTTGTGGACCATGGAAGCATTCTCCTGAGTGTGATTAATCCCCTTCAGTTGAGAGTAGGGTGGTGGTGTAGATGGTGTGAACTCTCCTACCATAAACCAGAAGAAAAATATCCAATGCTACCTGGCTATGGACTGGAAATGATCCACCAAAAATGCAATTCACCCCTCCAGCTGGGACCCTCATCTTACTGCCACCTAGATGTTGGTTCCAGGGTGGTCTGTTGTTGTATTAGAGCTGGACCAGCTGAGATAAGTCTTCACAAATTTGGTTTGTAGGGAGCCCTTGTCCTACTGCAGACTGCCAGGTTTTGGATTTTAATGAACCACTATGTTGCATTCCCTCTTTTACCATTGCCTGAATGTTGGGTTCCTGGGTGGCTTGGTGTTGGTTGTGTACTAGGTATGTAAACATGTGCCCTGTCTATGATGGCAGAACAGAACCCTTGCTTTCTTTTCTTGAGGTGAAAATGGTAGGAACCCTCCTTCTACCATGGACCAAACGATAAATATCTGGTGTCATCTGCTTTTGGGTTGGAGTTCACCCACCGAGTATAACCTGACACATCCTAGCCACTCTACACCATATGGCATATCCAATTGAGTATTTTATGTGCTCCTTTTTCAACCAAATTAACAACATGTATTTTCACAACAGGCAAAGAGTATACCTGGTTTAAATGTGGTGTGGTCTCCAATGGGTGTGTTCCTCTACCAAGAGATGTCACACTCCATGGGTGCTCTTTAGATGCTTTCCAAATGGTGCTCAGCTAGGTATATTTTGCACTGGCCCCTCCATTATCCCACAATGTCAATGTGGGATTCTAACTATTAAGTGAGAACAGGTAAGGTATCATATCAAAAGTTAAAGTTCTGACATGGTATCTTTCCTTCACTCATATAATAGCTTCTCTCATTCAGCACTTCTCTCTATATATATGCAATTTTTTTTGCTCTCCACTAGCCTTAAAACTCCCACTTACCTCACATTCATTGTGGTTCTACTTCATTTTTGCATGCTGCAACCCTCCACCAATAAGAGCACAACACACTCTCTTGATGCAGGTTACTCCCTCTATACTATTCAGCTTAACCTTGACTTCTTGCTTAGGCACTATCATGTTCAGACATTTTTTAATTTCCCTCATTTTGTTCACATTTGCATTTGCTTGATTTATTTTGTTTTTTTTCTCGAAGTAATAATTATAGATAGTTCAGCATTTCAATTACAACTTGTGTTGAAGTAAACTTAACACTTGTCTTTTGTTTTTTTCTCTCCACTATTTAATTTGGTGACTTCTTTGTTGAACCATGAATGAGGAATTTTGTGTCATGACTACAACTAGCATGACTACAATTACTTCAAATATCATTTCTCAAGCTTCAAGTTTGACACTTTCAGCTGAAGAGGTATTGGTTTTAGTTCAATTGGAACTTGAACACTAAATGAGACATCTGGCTTCTCCTGGACCTGGACAAGATCTTCCATTTTTGGAAGAACCTGGGTCTTGGGGACAAGGATTTAAGGAGCCTTTTTCCTCCCCCATCTTATGCCATTAAATCCTATGTGTCACCTGAGGATGCTGCCAGGCCTCCCTCAACCTTTTTGGACATGAATCCACAGGTATGCTACATTTTATTTGTGTCCTCAGTCTCGTATAACTCTGGAACTTCCCTTTTACACGTGGTTCCTTCATCAAAACACCTCATCCCCCCCTCCCTCTCCATGTAACAATTATGTGCAGGATAATAGCATGTTTCATCCCCATCTATATTTTGATTTTTTTTGCTTTAGTTTACCACAAAGCAGACTTTCCTTTTCTAAACTCACAATACTTGTAGTCTTTGATACGTGTGTGAGGGCCAACCTTGAATCTCCAGTTAGGTCCTTCCTTTGAACCCTTGTCTACCTGTTCCCTCTGGCATCCCTCCCTTAAAACGTACTTCCTCCTCCTTTTGGCCTGTGGACATCAGAGGTTTGACATATTCGCCATCAACAGTTCATGTACACTTTATCACCACACCTATGTTCTCCTTTATCTGGATCATTCTTTCCTTCTAAAAACATTGGCAGCTCGTGAGGCAACTATTTTTTTATGCCAATTTCCCTCCCATCCATTTCACATTTACACTCCCGTTCAGATCCAGATAGACTTCTATGTCCAGTTCATGGTCTTCATTGTTATATTGCCTGCACAGCTTCTTTCCATGGTCTTGCTCCCAGTTATTTATTCTCTGGAAATCATCCTTTCTCTAGAATCTTTCACCTTCTTTCCTCACTGGTTGGATTTGTCAACTTATAAGGCTGGCATATACATCACTATCTCCCAATTCCCAACATCTTTTCCAGGTGTCATCTCACCAGATTTGGAACATTACCTTTTCCCTGGTAGCTCATCTTCATCATCCTTCTAAGGAGATTATCCATTTGAGCACATGGATTACACAGAACACATTCATCTCTCGGTACCTACATCATGTGGACGTTTCATCCTTGTCTGTATATCATGTTCCACCTATTACCATTCTACACACGATGGTCTAACAGGGAATTGGTAAGTTTACTTTTTCTCTTTCTTTTTTTCCCTACAGAATCACATCCCTTATCAGAAGGGGATCCCGGTCAGTGGCAAGCTGTGCCTGTTCAGATATACTTACTGACTATTAGCCAAAACATTTGCACTATATGGCCTATAACCATATATATATAGACACACTGTCTTGGGTAGTCCAGTGCACCACCTCTGATGGATCAGGACCTGGAGGCTGGTGTAGCAAAGAGCTGGACCAGGCGAGTGGATGGCTAGGATTCTTCACTAGTGAAAATCAGGAGCTAGACCAGCTCTCTCCAGGCCTATAACACACACTGTTGAGATGGGGTCATTCTTATGGTATTTTGCTTCATAACTATGCCCATACCAGACCGTACTGACTCATGGTCTATCATGAGTAAAGCAGGGGGAATAGGTACCCATCCTTGCCATTTCTTAAATTGAATAAATCAGGGGTGGTCTGCTTTTCAAAATAGAGTTTCCATGGTCACCCATTACACAATCTCCAGTGTCAGCATTCCACCAGACTCCCCAACACATTCCTCCTTCTTTGAGTGAAGTGTGGGAGTCCTTTCCACTTACCAATTCCAAGCTGCTGGACTGGTGGATCATGGAGGCTTCCTCATGAATGGGCTCAATTCCATTCAGCAGAGAGTAGGGCTTTGGTGTTCTGCTGGTGTAGATGATGTTTATCTTCCCACAAACTCATAAACTGGAGTGGATCCACTAAAATGCACTCTGTTTGGGACCTTTCACCCTACCATTACCTGGATTTCAGTTCCTGCATGGTAGGTTTTGGGCTAGAGCTAGAACAGCCAACATAGGTCCTCATGAATGTGTTAGTCGAGAACCCTCATACTACCATGGACATGATGTATTAGTTGGCTGGGGTACCTTTGCCATACCTCCTCCATCAAACTGAGGCTTGGGAGCTCAGTATTGGAAGGAGCTGGACTGGCGGACAGATATTCTGGTTGGCTGGGATACTCCTGCTGTACCACCTGTGGGTCACGACTCGTAAGTTCTGGTAGTGCATGGAGCTGAACCAAGAACCAGAAGTCCCTTTGGATTTGAATGAACCACCACACAGGCACGGGTTACTGAGTGGCTGGTGTTGATTATGGATTTGCGCACATGCCCTGTCAAGAAAGATGGGAAGGAACACTCTCCTGTCTCATAGGCTTGAGGTGAAGATAGTAGGGACCCTCCTAATGTCAACTGGGAGATAAATACCCCATGACACCTGGTTTTGGACTGGAGTTGACTCACTATGTATGGTCTGATGTGCCCTAGCAATTCTACACCATGGGACACACCCATTTCATTTTTCCCACCGTTACTATATTTTGTTGGGAACCCTCAATCCTCCCATCATCAGGACCTCAATTCCTGGATGTTTGTGTTGGGTGTTGATCTGGACCAACCAACATATATATATTAATGTATGTGCTCCAACTAATATCTTCCCATTTAGATGACATACAACCTCATTGGGTGAAGAGTCTACCTGGTACAGATCTGGTGTGGTCTCCCATGGATACGTTCCTCTCTTTTGCACTGGTCCTTCCATATTTTCAATGTGGGTTTCTAGCTATTATGTGAGGGAGGTAAGATACCTTGTCAGAAGTTAATATTTTCTTTCACTGAAAATATATTTCCAATAAGTACTTACCTCCTCCCACACTTCACACCTTTCCTCCCTACTTCAGGTGCTTCTTTTGTGCCTAATTTTGAAGTGAATGTTAGGCTGAATAGTATAAAGGGAATAACCTGCCTCAGGATAGTGTGTTGTACTCCTATTGGTGGAAGGTTGCTGCCTACTTATATGCATGCAAAAATGTAGTAGAGCCAAGTTGAACATGGGAGTTTTAAGGCTAGTAGCAAGAGAGAAAGTCTGTGCCTATAGAGGGCAGCACTGAATGAGAGAAGATATTATGTGAGGGAAGGTAAAGTACCTATTGAAAATATATTTTCAGTAAAATAAACTGTGTCAGAAGTTAATATTTTCCTACACTGTAAATATATTTTCAATAGATACTTACCTCCTTTCACACTTCCCATCCTACCTCCCCACTTCAGGTGCTTCTTATTTCCCTAATCTCAAAGTGAAGATTGGGGTCTACAGTATAGAGGGAGCCAGTTGCAACTGGAGAATGTGTGGAGGGTTGTTGCAAAATTATTTGTATGCTAGAAAGCAGCTGTACCACATTAAACACATGGGGTAGGTTGAAGTATCAAGGCTAGTGGTGAATGAAAACTTTGTGCATATAGAGGGCAGCACTGAATGAGAAAAGCTGTTGTGTGAGAAGAGGTATCTATCGGAAATATATTTTCAATGTGCAAAAATGTTAACTTCACTACTTACTAGTTGGAGCAAAATAAAAGTTATATGTTTCTTTTATTGCTTCAGTTGCAGTTGGAAATTGAAAGTGATGATAAAAATGTGACAATATACCTTGAAAAATGTGCAATTGGAACAGAAAGTTGTATTTAATGTGGATGTCAGTGCCATAGATATTAGTTTTGATCTAAAATTTATGACTGTCAAATATAGGATATTTTGCTTGTGTTTATGATAAGTATTAATATATCTTTGTACTGCAATCATTCAGTGCCATATAATTTGAAACAACAATTTTTGACAAGATACTTTTACATTTTTACACTAGCTTAGTGAATACAAATAAAAATATAGCTATATGCATAGGCACTACAATGTTATTTCCTTAAACATTTTCTGATTGCCTGCTTAAATGATGTGTGCTTCACATGTTAGTCTCATGCAATGATTTCAAACTTTACTTACAATTACATTCTTGCACAAATTATCACTCTTTTAAAGTTAACCATCATATATTTCTCAAAGTTATGCACAATTATATTTTTCTTTGTATTTACTTAACTAGAGGAAAAGAAAAACAAGGGCAAATTGTACTTATGAAACCCTTATGTCTCCACTAATGTTCTGATGTATGTTTAAAATCCCCCAATTTGTTTGATCTCAGCGTCTGATCCATGATGTTTAAAAGTTAATAAGGTCTAGAACTTTGTGTAGTACATGTTGTATAAGTTTGTTCAAAATCCAATCATAATATATCCTGCCAAGAAGATTGAGACTAACATATAGATGAATAGGAGAACCCAATATGCCCCACTCTGCTTCACAAAGCAGTAGAAACAGAAAAGGGTTTTCTTATGAGATTTAGTTATGAAATGTTTTTCAATATAATGACTAATACTAGTTACTTTTTTTTTTACAAGTAATATGTAATGTATTATTTCTTTTATTTTCAGTTAAGAGTAAAAGTACAATATTACTAATGCTAGTAATATTGCCCAACACTGATTTAGACATACTGACTTTGGATCTTATCGTGTAGTTCTATACTTTTTCATGGCAAACTAATTACTAATTCATAATATTTAAGTTCAAGGTATACCAGTGAGAAGTAGTTTTAAAGTTGGTTATGTTTCTCAATCAGAGAACTTCTTTATTTATTATACACTAGTCTTGTTAAACTTGTTCTTGATGTAAATCCTTTTTTTTCTCTCTCTCTTTTATAAAATCTATATTGTTTAAGGTATTGAAATCAATATAAAAATAATCTAAATATATTCTCCAAGACTTCTTCAATAAAACACTTGTTGTTTTTTGCAATTATTAAGTATTAAAAAACCTGTTTGCAAATGATAGAGCAATATATTTAACTTTTTTGAGGATTGTGTATGTCTGGCATGCACTCTTTCCTTAGATCTCTCATTTCTCTCTAGCTTTAGAGCTTGTTGGAACAGGTGTCTTTCTTCCCCTTAACTGTAGAGAATTTGTGTTGTACTACCCTGTTCTTTTAGCTAGCCATAAGATAATTAAAACTTTTAAGTTCAACCTCACATTTTGCTGTAAATATTGGATAAGTAGCTCTACACTTAAGTGTAGAATAATTGAAAGTTGTTTTATGCCCATGTAAGGCATATTGTATGTATTTCAGTATTTTTTCAAAGAACTTGTACATATTTCTTCAATCTGAAACATATGGCATGCACATGATTGATTAAGTAGCTATTGCAGTATTCAGTTTGTTATACTTGGGTGAATGTTTGTGTAAATAATTTATTGGAAATCAACATTACATTGCAGGTGCTAATACCTCCAAAAAAAACCATTATGGATCAGTTAGAAGAGATGGAAGGTTTTGATATTTTGGTTCATTTGCTGAGGGAAACTGGAATGGACGAGAGACTAAGATTGGGATATGGACCATTTACTCTGCTGGCTCCAAAAGATGAAGCTTTCTCTAAAATATCTGAGAGTGTTCTATCTGATATTTATAAGGAAAAGGAGCATGCTGAGAATTTAGTAAAGCTTCATGTCTTACCTAGTAAGTTGATGAAATTGATCTCAGTTTATATCATAATTTTAAGAATATAATCATCAGCATAATACTTACATTATTAACAGTCTTAATCAATAGTTATACTAAAAGATGATCAACTTTTTGAAACAGCCAAAACATAGTCATTCTAACATACTGTTTAGTAGTTTACTACTAGAACATGCTGAAATTTGAAAAAATATACAGAGTTGTGGTATTTTAAGCTATGGGGTAAAACTAAGGATTATTGAATTCATAGTGGAAAATTTATTTACAAAACTTCTTTGTAAACAATATTTTCAATATTTGCTCCTTCAGGAACATACATTTTTACTCAATTGAATGACTGTACCCTGGATAGAGCTATGTAGAGCTGACTTTAAGAAAAAAATTATTCAGCCAAATGCAACCACACAAATTTGAATGTTTGTCCCTGCAATTTCTTAATAAATTGTCAAGGCAAGTAATAACCTAACATGAAACTGTTTTTTGTTTTTTTTTAAGATAAACGTAAGGACAGTTTCTTACGAGGTCAAGTTGATCCTGGGTATGGAAAACTTAGTGCCAGTGTACTTGTCAAAATTATTTCCACCTGTTATGTGATTCATTAATTTTTTTGACTGAGCCATGCACCATTGTAACAGCCTTGTTTAACATTTAAATTTTCCAGAAGCATTAAAAGGCTTCAGTTTTTGAATTTAATGTATGTGGTTGCACACCAGAAGATGTGAAACATTTAATGTTGCAATTTGATAATGAGATGTATCACTGACTTAATTGTTATTGGCCCGGCATGGCCAGGTGGTTAGGGCGCTTGACTCGTAATCTGAGGGTAGCGGAATCGAATCCCCATACCACCAAACATGCTCGCACTTTCAGCCGTGGGGGCATTATAATGTAATGGTCAATCCCACTATTCATTG